ATCTAAATACCAATAGCAAAAATAGAAAATAAAAACTAAACTAAAATAGATAATGATGAAATTTGCCAAGAAAATGGTATGATAAATATGTTCAAATAAAGATAACAATAAAATAAATATAGAAAATAAATAATATGAGAAAGAAAAAGAAGAAAATAGAAAGAAATAGAAGAGAGTAGAATATTATTGAACCAATTACGTAGTCTAAATATCATTATGACTAATTTTATCATGCTACTTCTTTTGTTCACGTGTTCTTTTGAAATTATAGTCAATTTTGAATCAGTGACAATATATATTAAATATAATTATATAATAGGATCTAATATAAAAATAAAAAACAAATTAATTTGATTATTATTAAATTATATTAAGTTATATTAATTTATATCTTAATTTTTGTTAATCCAAAAATTAAATAATTATAAAATTTTTGATAATAATAATAATTATTATAATTTGTAATAATATTAATTAACTAATTTTTTTATTTTTAGTTTGTAATACTTTGAAATTGTTCTTAATTGGATAATTCTTTCAGTAAGCTTGTCAAATATTATAAGTTAAATTTTGATAGATAAATTTATGTTATAATTAATTAATAGTACTTAAAATTTTATTTTATATTATATTTATATAATTTAAAAGTATATTAATATAATAAATATATTTAATACAATCAAATTTCTCTATAGTTACTATTTCAAAAAAGTAAAATTTGGTGTCTATAGAAAGAATGTAACTATAAAGAGAATTTTTTTACATATTTATATATAAATGAAAAAGTAAAATAGGGTAATAATAGAATGATATGACTATAAATAAATATAATTTAGAAAAATTTGACTGTATAATTAATATTTTAATATAAATAATTTAATAAATATATTAAATATAATAGATATATTAGATATTTTGAATATATTAAATATATTAATATTATTATCATTTTAAGTGTAAAAATACTTTTTTACGTAAAAAGTAATAAGATAAATTTATCAATTGCTGTAAATAAATTATATTAATTGAGATAATTTTCAGCTTTAATTTTAATAAAGCTTATTTCATTATTTATTAAATAATGAAAAGATCTAAAAAGCTATAGTATAGAACAAAGATATTTAAATATATAATTGAGATTTAATAAATTAAAAATAAATTAATAATAAAATAGAGAGTGATTGGTTCTAAATTATTAATCTTAAAGATAACGCATTTTCAAGTTATGCAGTACTTAATAAGATATATATAAAATATAAATAATAAAATAATTAACACGAATTAAAATAATAAATAAAAAGAGAAAAAGAAATGAATAAAAAGAAAAGTAATTAAAAACAAAGTGTATCTAAATTAATAATGTGATCTATATTTTATATCTAATCTATTTGATGAAACATTAAGAAGTATTAAATATAAATTTGTATTAATTTCTAATATGTTATGCAAAAAATAATAAATATAATATGAAAAATGATAGATATAATACAAAAAATTACAAGAATATATAAAAATTGTTACATTAAGCTTTTACATATAAAAATATTTCAAAATGATAATAATGATTATGTTTATAGTAATTTACTTTGAATTTTATAACTAAATAGTGTTTATAATAATATAATAATATTTTTTGACAAAATAAAATTGGTAATAATAAAACTAAACTAATAACAAGACTAAACTAAAAGGAAACTTTAATTAAAAACTACTTCTAATTTAAAAATAAAATCAATTTAACTAAAAGAACTTAAATCGAATTTAAAGAACTTAAATCAAAACTTGAGAACTTGAAGAACTTGATTTTTATTAATTATTAGCACTTGTATTTATACATGTTTTCATATAATAATAATATAGTATAATACAGAAATATGCAGTATGATATAGTTATAGTACAGCATGTGATACAATAGATCTACACTAATATTACAAAATTACTGGTTTTTTTTTAAATTACACAAAATTTAACTATATTATAATTAATAATCTTGTTCTACACTAAAATATCAATAGTAAAAATAGAAAATAGAAGCTAAACTAATATAGAAAATGATAAATTTGCCAAGAAAATTATGTGATTAATATATTTAAATAATGAAATAAATAAGTAATATAAGAAAGCAAAAGAAGAAAATAGAAAAAAATAGAAAAAAATAAAAAGTTATTGAACTAAATACATAATCTAAATATTATTATGACTAATTTTTACTATACTGTATCTTTTATTCACGTGTTCTTATATTGAATTGATGATAATATATTGAATTAATAACAATATATTGAATATATTAAATATATTATTAAAAAGTTATAAAATTAAGAAATTAATAAATTATAAAATAAAAATAAAAAATTATAAATTATAATAATACAAAAATATTTACCTTGATATAAGATTATAGATCACAAAAATATTTCAAAAATGTGAATATTTAATGATATAATACAAATTAGTACAAGATTAAAAATTAGTCAAGATTTGTAATAATATTAATGAAATAAAAAAACTAGATATTCAATAATAAAAAAATTTCAAATATTTACATTTAAAAAACTTGATATAAGACAAAACTGAAAATTAATTATATAAACTATTAGTTATTATAAGTGAATTTAATCATTATTTTCATTTTATTAATATTGCAAATTTCTTCAAATTGTCATGAGATTCCAATTTAATTTTATAATAATAATATTTTAATGAATATTTGATACTTTTTTTTATTATGAGAGTCACAGCCAGAATTTTGCTGGACCAAACAACAAAACAAAAGATATTTATTTTTGTTTTAATAATAATAATATTATATAGAATTCAATTAATCATTAAATATATTATAGATATAGATCATGTGCATTTAGCGTTTCTATAAATTGAACTGAATCAGATTTTTGTCTGAGTTTAATCTGGTTCAAAATTTGAATTAAACTTAAATCAAACTTTGATTTGATTTCAAAAAAAATCAAAAGTTCAAACTGGACTCAAGAATTATTATACAAGTTCAAGTCTAATTTGAGTTCAATTAGAGATCAGTATATAGTATTATATATTTATTTGTAATTTTAAATAAAAGCTACAAGCTATAATTTTAATTATAAGTGCTAATTATAATATTAAAAATTTACTTAGCGACAACTAAATTATTTTTATTTTTATAATTATTAAATTTTATCAGAAATTTTTATATGTCTTTTTAAATAGCAATTATTTTATACCAAATTGTAGTTCTTATTACTGGCTACAACTTTGTTTATAACTATAATTTATAATTATTATAACAAAATAAAGATTTATTATAGAATAACTAAAATAAATTAAAATTGTAAAAATCAAAAATATTTTTTAAACCTAAATATCTTTCCGAATATCTATTTTCAATATCAACTATCTTATACCAATTTGTAGCTCTAATTCTGATCTATATCTTTACATAGAAGCTCATTGAACATTTACTTGAACTCGAACTACTTTTGGTCAGGTTCGAAGTTTGAACCAAACTCAAACCAGACTTTTAATTGGGTTCGAATTTTCGAACCAGACTTTTGGTCAGGTTCGAGTCTGGTTCAAGCTCGAACTGAACCAGACTTTTTTTCGGAACCCTATGTGCATTAAGTCAATTCGGATAATTATGATTATCCGAGTTGACTTAAGTCTTAATTTACTACATGACTTTAATGGCTTCCAATAAAGAGCTATCAATCTGTAAGAGAATTTTTTTATTTTGAATCTTGGTTCAAAAATTATGACTTTATATGAGCATGCGCCAAATTCCAGCTCATATATTTAAACTATGATAACACTATCAAAAAATAAAATATATAGTTTTTTGCGTTGTTCGTTGATCTAGCGATTAAATTGGTGCATAATTTTAAGGGGATATCGGATGGTCGAACATCGGAAATTTTTTTGCCACTATACATGTATAAACATTCGGCGTAACCTGTCACACAATTCTGTACGGATACACTTCCCCTGACCAATATTAGTTAACTGATTCTGCAGCAGTAAACTAAGTAATTTAGATTTGGCCGAATATAGCAAGCTGAACACGCTTTCATAGACAATACTCTTTTCATAGATGTTACACACGTTTGAGTTTATTCGATAAAAGAGACAGAAACTTTTTTATTCTTCACTTTTCAAATTAACAAGCAATATCGAATAAAAATGTCTACCTTCAAACAATTTTTTGTGGTCACTTCGATTCTGGCAATCTGTCTCTTCGCTTCATCTGACGCCATTCCTATTCCCATCAGCGTCAGCGACAACGGCATCAGTCCCAGTCAAGGCGTCAACGTCGGCAACGGCCAAGGCGTCGAGAACACAGGCGTCTACGTCGGCAACGGCTACAAAGGCGTAGACAACGATGGTCCCACTGCCCATAACACAGGCGTCAGCGTCGGCAACAGCTACAGTGGCAACGGCTCAAATGGCGGCATAGGTACTGATAACAGTGGCGTCAACGTTGGCGAAGGCCACGGTGGCGATAGCGTTAACGGTGGCACAGGCGGCGTCGGCACCGAAAACAGCGGCATAAACGTCTCCAACAACTACGGTGGCACCGGATACAATCCCGGTGGTTATGGCGGCACCGGCACCATTAACGACGGCGTCAATACCGGCACCGGCATCGGTGGCAGCGGCATCGGCAAACATTAGTTATAAAAAGTGTGGATCGTATATAAGCTTGTTGAAAGAAAAGCAGACAGTATGGTATTAAGATTCTTTTTTGTGAATCTGCCTAAGTATAAGAGTGTTATTGTGAATAATGATATCAAATTGAACAAATGTTAACATTAAACAAAAATTTATTCGAAAACTTTACAATAATAAATTTATTTGACTCATGGTACATAAAATCATCAAACGTTTGTATTTTATAAGTAAATACAAAATTTAATCCATGAATATGCTCAGAAAAGGCCTATTCTATCATATTCACGGATTAAATTTTGTATTTACTTCTTAGTAAAGAAGTTT